TATTATTGGAAACTTTTATCAAAACTTTGATTTCAACCCATGGAACCAAGATTATTTTGTTTATTTGTGAGTACTCACCAACTATTTTTATAGTTGATGCTCGTTTTACATGCTTTTTTAGGAATTATCGAGTAAGTGGCACTTAGGGACACTTCACTTTTAGGAGCATTTGCATGTGTTGTATTACTATTTTCATTGTAATTTCTTGTAAAAGTTGTTCAAACCCATTGTAAATTTGTAATGATTTTTAATACTATGGTTGGTGTTGTCTTTTAACTTTTGCTATGAAACCCTTTATACTGTCATGCCTCGTGTTTCTGCTATAGCGGGGTGTGACAAAACATTCCTTAGCAAAAAAATATTCAAGAGTCAGTGTAGCTTCTTATCAAGTTAACACTTCAAAATTGGCCCTAGTTGGTCTTTGTCTTCTTCAAGACATCACAACTTGCCAATTTCAAATGTTCAGGAATAAGAAAACTTTTTCAAATTCCACATTTGATAAGTGTTATAAACCTTATTAAGGCATGTCATTCAAGTCACAATCTTGGATTATAACTCTAAGATTTGATTTTGGAACGAAGTATGATTCACCTCTTTGATTTAACCATTTCAACAATTCACGATTCTTCTTTTTATCCATACAAATGCACTAATATTTCCTTAGAGGATCAATTGTGATATGGTTTCATAATGACCAAGATGATCATAAAACAAGATACTCAAATATTGTCCCATCTTATAAGATTGGAGAAACTTTTATCTTTTTGCCTAATTGATTCTTCTTATTCATTCTGCTGTTTATTGAAACTCTTTCAACAACTCAGAATTACACTTAGTCTTATAAGTATAACCATAATTTTTAACATTAGTAAATCATGTCGAATGTTTTTATTGTTGTTTGTGGTGGACTTGACTAGCACACAACCAATTGTATCATGTCTTCTAGTCCTTAACTTGACTCTTGGTCAAGGAATTAGTCCCAAATTTGCCAAAAACCCAAAGGTCCTCATTCATCACATAATACAATTTGTATGATTCCAAGTTTTTGTCCAATTGAAATGTGAATGATGAGAATCTTTAAGACACTACCACAATCGAAAGAATGAAATCCGTTCATCATATTGCTAACAATAGAAACATTCAAACACCAATTTTTACAAAAGCCATTGCAAGGAACAAAAAAAATAAGACAAAATCAAAATTTATTTTATTTATAAAATGCAGAAAAATATTGTCCTTACAATGCGATCAGATTTAGCTCACTTCTTCCCTTAAGCTTCCTTTATTTTCTTCGATCCTACAAAATATCAAAATGTAATCTTATCGCATCAAGTATGGAGAATCTAAAATAGGAACTTAATAGAGTTAGATAGTGGATTTTACCTAAAGTAGAGCCATACATATTGACTCTCCCATCTCTTAGATCTCTCAGGTAGTTAGTGCAGCTTCGTAACTAATGTCGCTTCCTTTGGCAGTAGTAACAAATGGACTCATTGCGAATCGCACAAGGAACTATCTTAGAATTTGTCTTTTTTGGGCTTCCAGTGTCACCATTATCAATGTCCATGAAAGTTTGGGATGTTGATCCACCAGACAAATTTGCTTGACCAGTACGCCAAATCATCGTTAATTCAGCAGCAATAAGCAAATAGGTGAGATCAATGAGGGTCACGTTATGGTCCATCATATAGCAATCTCTAACGAACTCACTATATGATTCAGGAAGCGACTTAAGAACCCAGTCAACATCCATTTCCTTGGAGATAACAACACCCATCACTCCCAACCTGTCAACGTGCGACCTCATCTTTAAGACGTGTGCACACACAAATCTTCGATCTTCCACTACTAGAAAAACAGCCTTTTACGATGCGCAAACAATGACACGCGCAGATATACGATACGCATTTCTGTGTGCCCTAAAATTAGTGTCCATAAATTTGAAGGATAGTGGACACGCATTTTTGCGTGCCCTAAAATTAGTGTCCATAAAAAAGAAAATTAAAAACACGGAAGGCACCTAAATTAAATGGGCATCATATAGAAATGTCATTTTATAATTTTTAATATGCGCGTCCCTCCTCTTTGATATAGGTAAGCAGGAAAACCAAATATCCAAAAAATTTGAAGTACCCTCCTTCCTCTACCTCTCTCGCTCGCTCGCTCTCTCTCTCTCTCTCTCTCTGTATATATATATATATATATATATATATATATATATATATATTCTCTCCTCTAGGTCACGATTCACCATGTGAACTAACGCATACCCACAATTCTTTCTCTTTATCTCCATCGTTTTCGGCTTTTATCTCTTCTTAAAAAAGTGATGATGAATCTACCATGAGGCGTCACAAAAGCAACCGGAGGCATCAATACGGATGGAGCAATGAAATAAGGACTTCTAGAAGAGAGAAAGAGAAGGGGAAAGAGAGGTGGAAGATAAAGAAAAGAGATAAAGTGACAAATATAGAAGGAAAGGGAGCAGTAGCAGGAGATCAAATCGAGAAGACAAAAGAAGGGGTTTAGATTCAGACGCAAATTCATTCTTTGATTTCAATTTCATATACGCCTCGATGTTCTTATGAATTGCCTTGATTGTGATACGAGAACGCCCTCTCTTATTCCTCCTCTGATTCGAGAATGACTTGCTCCATCCACCCTTGAAGACGTCACTGGCATCAGTGGTTTTGATCAGAGTCGATTCGATCTTCTTTTTAAAACCCTAAACGCCGATTTAGAATATCGTTGGTAAAACCCTAGATCCAAAAATAGGCTACCGTTAATTCTTCTCCCAATTTTGGCCAATCATCTAACCCTTTTATTTGGGTCTTTAGTGTTGGAATAAAATTGCGAGACTTAGTCTTCATATGGGCAATGTTAACGGTTCTCTCAGGTAAATAGTTAAATCACTTGATTTTCCATTGTGGCATCGAATCTTTTTTTATTTTGATTTGGTAGTTTTAATTTTGAATGTACAGGTGTTTCTCAGGATGTTAGTGAGGGCTACATCACTTGATTTGCCATTGTGTCATCATATTCTTGTACTTGAAATCTTGAGGGTTCATCTGGAAGGGTTGAATATAGCTAACTATTGCATTTTTTAGTCTTTTTATATACTAATATTACCTCCTAAAACCTTTCATCTAACTATCGATTGTTGTATATTTTGTAGGGTTTCTGTGTAGAAGCACATATTCTAAGAATTCTATTTCAGCATTTTCACATGTAAGCTAGTTAACATACTTATGTTGCTAGTTGAAGTTAATTAACATAACTTATTCATTATGCATCCCTTTTCACACACAAACAAATAGTTTTTCAAGCTGTGGCTATTGATTAATGTCTTTTGAATAATGTATTTTGAATCTGGAAAGGATATATCATAATAGTTATATGATGTTTTTTTTTGTAGGTTTTACCAAAGAAATTTTGTGTTATGCATTTGCTTGAGCATCACACAACACTTATTCTTGTTGATGAATCTGGAAAGGAGTTTAAGATGAATTTTTTGAAAGTAAGACATGGTTTAAGTGCTGGATGGAGGTGGTTTCTATATTATAAGGGTTACTTTAGAATGATATTTTGTTTTTTCGTCTTGTTGAACCTTGAAAACCTTAGGTAATCTTTTTGCTTTTTTTTTGTTTAAAATATTTTGTTATTATATACCCTAAATTGTGTCTTTTTGACTTAATGTGGACATAAGATTATGTTATTATATACCCTAAATTGGATGTTGATCCCATTGAAATTGACTTTACCCCTCCTTTCAGGTTAATTTCTTAATTTACCCCTCCTTTCACTTTATGGTCTGGAATGTTGTGGTCCTTAGTCCTTTGCTGAGAGCGCAAAATTTGTGAGTGAAAAACTTCTGGAGAGCCCCACTCTCTTGAATGTATGGTTTTTGAATTTGAATGAAAAGAAGTTAGTTGTTTGTTTGTTCTCTTTCTGTGAAATTATCTGTGAAATTATCTTATCAGTCTTAACAAGGAAAGAAAGAAAAAAAAACAAAACAAAAAATGGAAGTAAGATACTATAATAAACATATAAATGGTATCTGTTGGGTTTTTTGTAACATGATTGAAATTTTTTAGATGGATTGAAATGATTGGAGAGTTAGTGAAGATGGCTCATCTTAGCACTAGACATGATCGAGTGCTGACATGAAAAATAACAGTGGTGTTCTCGTCTATACAACCACATCACTGTTTTAAATTAATTTTTTTGTAATCTATTATTATAATTATTTCATTTAACAAAAATATGATAATTTTTTTTTCAAGCATTAGGAAACGTGGTGTCGGGGGGTATGGGGGGACAGCATGTAATGCCAACTAGAAATGTTCCACACCCTATGCACATGGCCGACATGCAGAGGATGCAACAGCAAAATATGGCGGCTTATGGTCTCGCCTCTTAGGCAGCAATGGGCGGCGGTGGTGCAATGAATCCTGGAAATATCCCGATGCAGCGGGGTCTTGCCGCCCAACCTCACCAACAACAACAACAACAACAACAATTTTCATATGTTTCTTGAAATAGCAATGTACTTTCATAATAAATCAAAGTACATTGCTATTTCTTGCATTTAAGATTTAACAATATTATTATTTATGTTCTTCTATGCCCGTATGTGATTTTTTTGGAAGCAGTTAAGAAGAAAGGATGGAACGAGAAAATAAGTGAGCTTTTCGTATCGAATTAGCATATCATCAAGTTGAGTCGTTTTCATCTTTAGCTCATGTTGTACTTGTCTTAAATATGTGAATAACTATTCAGCTTCATTTTTTATGTCATTTCTAGTAGAAGCTGATTCTTGTAACAAGCTAAAATCAAAAAGTAAACCATTTAAAAAAGTGTTTTTCCTTTCCAATTCTTTATTTAGCTTTAAGTTTTCACCAATAAGATCACCATCACACAAATCTACTGATTCTTTTTTTAATAGTTATCCCATCATCAGGTGGACAAAGGAATTGCAATGGAATCACAAAATCCTCCAAATGTGGCAGAAAATCCGGATTGGAATCAGCATCTTATGTTCTCAAAAATGGGTATCTTCCATTACTGATCAATCTGGAATGCAAGAAATGGGTGTAAATCCTGGTGATTTTGATGATGACGAAGGAGGTGGCCTGGTTGGTATTAGCACCCCTTCTATGTGGTGTGAATATCAAATTTTGACATTTTCTTTTGTTATCTCAATAAAGTTCAAAACAGAAGACAAAAAGCTTGCGAAAGATCAAAATCTTCATGAGAATTTGATCTCTGATGAACGAACGAAATGAAGTCAGCTGAAACTACAAATGGCTTTTGATGGATAGGAAAGAGATATGAAGGTATGATCTATATTGTAATTCAGATTCGATCACTTTTATTATCTAATCTATTAAGTCTTAATACCCATTATTCTCTATGCATGCAGAGATCTTGGGAGCCAAGTGATAAAGCTGATCTTCACTTTGTCTACAAAGATGTTGAAGGAGCATCAACTCAATTGAATGTTATTCAAAGAAAACTTGGGAACTTACCTCCTAAACCTTCTGCCTTCAAACCCGATCCCTTCACTCCTGCAGATGATGAAGATTCCAAACCTAAAACCGAATCTCGGATCGTTAACAAGACATAAGAACTCAAAGATTTAGAAGATGATCTTGATGATAGTTGTTTCCTCAAAGAATACATGTACTTTCAATTCCCTTAATCCTAATCTCATTTTGTGAGGGTATTAAACTTCATGTGATATTTTCATTATTTCATTTTCTTTTGTGTTCTTGAAGGAGAAAGAGGTTAGCAGAGATGAAGCTAACAATGGAAGTTTGAGCTCGGTATGTTCGGACAGCATCTATGGTGGCCCGGGCAGCATCTATTTCAATTTTGATTGTGTAAAAGTCATCTACTAAAGAAAGGTTGGTCTAAGAGTTGATGATGATAACATTGTTCCAAGACCTTCAGTGAGTTATGATGATGTCCCTTAATAGCAATGTAGTATTAGGTTATATAGTTAGGGATGATTATTTTTATTTGACATTTTAGTACAATGAGTTATCTTTCTTATTTATTGTATTTTATTTTGTATTTTGTATGACATTAACTTTTGTGCAATGGATTGTATTTTTCGTACATGTTATTTTATATTCTATTATGAGACATGAAATGCAAATTTAATTTGAAAATTAGTAAATCTATAAATAATTTTAAAAAAAAAAAATTACGATACGCAAAAATGTGTGTCATCTTCATTTATGACATGACATTTCTTGACATCGGTTTTAACGATACGGATTGCGTGTCATAAATGCGCGTCGTCTCTCGTTATGACACGACCTTTCTTGACGCGCATTTGCGCGTCATCTGAGCATTTTACAACGCGCAATGAGCGTCGTAAAAGGCCTTTTTTCAAGTAGTGTTCGTGTTTACTCGCCAAAAGGGATTGAATGAGCTTGAACTTTTCAAGCCTTCGAACTTGTGGGTGAGGGAGAACAATTGGAGGAGGTGGAGGCAGTGAAGCATGATTTCTATTTCCATGACCCAATCGTAGAATATCATCTTCAGCCAGAAAACTATTTCCAAATGATTCAGGAAGACCATGGTTGTCAGAACTAGACATCTACAAAAGGGAGAAAATTCAAGTTAGTTGATAAAAGTCCTTGATATAACACCCAAATGAAATATCAAGGCTAGGATCCAATACAATACTCTACAACTCAGAAACGGGATGTCGTAATCAAGTTGCACAATAATTGAAGGTAGGTAAATGACGATTTACCAATTTCCACCATGAAAAACGAAAAAGAAGTTTATGTTTTAAATGAATTAAAACTCCCAGATCTTTTGAGATTCATTGAATTTTTCAATGGCATGTTTAATCTCGATTATGCCCTTCAAGTTTGTGATTGGGAAGCCGAGGATCACAAAGAAGGTGTGAGTAACCAAGCAAATATACTTGGTACCCTCATGTTACCATCACCTAATCAATGTGTCGGTTAGCCACACACACTCCATTGATCTATGAAAAACATCGAGTTAACCTTTTCTGCCCTTGCCATTCCCAAATTAGTGTGCCGGTTAACCACACACGTTCTACTAACGTCTCAGTAAGATGCAAACTGTAATTTCATGGATTAGCACTAAATTCACATTTTTCCTAAAGTAACTAACATTTGGGAATTTATAAAATATGTTTAGTTACTCTGTACTTCATTATACTTATAATGGAAGGTTGTGTCGTATCTTTCCCATTCGGCTAACGACCCTCCACTAGTCAAGAGTGTGGTGGGAAAGAGTGGATACCCATTCAATTGTCATTTTATAGGCAATTTCCTTAAACACTCCTTATAGACCAGCTTCGTGAATGAGTCCTACTAACGGTAAGACTGACCATTTACTCATACATATATAATATAAAACTTTTAGTTTTATATATAGTATAAGGGTGTATTTTACACTTTTAAAATACTAGGTGATTTTTTTTTCTAATTTTCTCTTTTAATTAAACTTTTAACTAACTTAATAAAACCATAAGGGTGTAATTTGAACAATTCAAAACATCAAATTCTAAATTAAAACAATTTAATTAAATTTTAAATTACAAAACCAAGAGGTACACCTGTGAAACTTTTCAAATTATTAAGGTTTAAGAATTTAAATATTTCAAAATTAAACTTTTAATAAAAAAATTTAATTCTGAAACTTGAGGGCAAGTTTTAAAACTTTTCAAAACCTTCTAGATCAAATTACAAACAATTAAATTAATCAAATAATTGGTAGTTATCTAAGTTTGACCTAATTGAATTTTCTTACAAGATAATTCAAATCACAACTACAACTAATTAATATTTATCTTATAAAACAAGTAACTATGTTAATTTTGACAAATATCTACTATTTTGGTAAGGATAGTCACTCTAAATAAATAAAAATAAGATTTTATCAATAAAAGCTGGTTTTTGGTAATTATCCCATAGTAAAATAGGTCAAAATACCAAAAAATCGTCCATCTAAGCCTCTGACTCATTGAGTCAGCACTGGACAAGTCAAGTTCCCAGTGGACTCGGTGAGTCCAGCCTCCAGAAAGTAGAATTTTGTGACTTTACGCTTGAAAGATCAACTACGGCATCAAATACATCAAACAAACAACATAGGCTCTGATACCACTGATGGGTTTTGAGCACTACATCAATCCTATGGTGTAGATGCAAACCCTAAAATTTTGGATCTAGTTTGTCTAATGAACATGCAATAATCATCCAAAGCTCATAAACCCTAGATCTAGCATATTCTATTCGATATTAACACAAGAAGAGGGTTTGGATCTTACCTTGATTGTTATGTAGCAATAACAATATGAATCCTTCTTGTAATTGACATCTGAAAGCCTAGTGCCTCAAGTGTTGCACCTCTAATGGAGTCACAAACAACAACGAACAAGATAGAGGAGAGGAGCACCAAAAACATCCAAGATCTCCTAGAGAAGGCTTAGCCATGTTTTTGGGACTAAAAATCTCTGACAAAACATTTTTACACCTAAACCGCATTTCATTTAGCTTAAATTATCTAGGTTGTAAAAGCACAAATACATGCGTACGAGTCATTTTCGTAGTTAGAACTACACAGGAAGTATTAAGACAAGTTGCACACCACGACTAGTCCTCGGAATATGTAATTGGAATTGGGACGAATATAGCCTGATCAACTATATTTATCCGAGATCGGACTAATGTATGTCGGGGAATGGTCGTGGTGAGCAACAAGTTAAAACTTACCAAAATGACACTAGTATCAAACATACAAATTTAAATACTATAGGAGTATTTGGTAAATGCAATAGTTTAACCTGCATATTTAGACTTACATGTTTCAAAATTGTACAATTCTTATAACCCTATTCTCGTATAGTCGAAGTGGATGGATTCCATCTACCCGGGGATCCATACTACCCGAACCAAGGCAATGGAGGATGGGTAGAGGAGGACCCCGAAGAATATGAGGAACCCTTGGAGGAGGAGGAAGCCGAAGACTCTGGGACAGACTCAGAGCCAGAAATAATCAACCCACCAATCGCCCAACCTCCCGCAATTAGTGGAAACTTTCAAGGACCAACTCCTTTCTGGGGAAGTCATATTCACCATTGGATCCGGCAGCAAGGATTACGTCCTCCATATGGTATGTGTCGGGATTTCTATGAGGTCAGTGGAGGAATTTCAGCCGACTGAGCACTCCCAGTCATGCTGGGCATACTAACCAACCAGTCCTACCAATCCACAATTCAAGCGAACCAGATTCACGAAGTCAACGTGGAGGTTCAAGGTAACACTGTTGACATCCGTCGCCTGGACATGTTGTAGGAAAATGCTCATCTCCACACTGACACCCTCCAGGAGTAGTTGACTGCAGCACTCTATGGGATAAGAGAAATGAAGGAGCAGCAAGCCGCCTTTGTTAGGCGTCTTATGGGAGCAAAGCAATCGGAAGCGTAGTCAAGCTGCAAGCATAACCTGCATCGCAAGTAGTACTTGCTGAAATCCCAAATTTTGATATAGAATTGGTTATCGGCAAAAAGTCTTACTTTTCTTTAACTTTCTTGTAATCAGAGACCTTTAGAAAGGTCAATTTTTCCTAACTTCGATTGTAATCCAAGCATATGTTTAATATATAATGAAACATTCCTTTTGGGTATAAATCCTTTGCATATAACTCCAATTCATGAGTTTATCTACTATTATATAGACTCTAAATATGAATCAAACACGAAACCTTGTATTAGTCAGCCTAAATCATGAATAATTGAAAATAGCTAACCCTCTAACATTCCAATTTCGATCATTAATGACTTATGGTCTCTCATTGTTATTTCTTTAGTAGTACAATACCGCCTCGTAGATCTACACACTGTGGCAATAACGTAACACCTCCACCACCACCACCTCCATCAATGGATAATGCCGCCTTGATAGCTGTTGTAACAGCTGCAGCGACAACGGCAATGGCACAGATGAGTAATAATGGGTCCGGAGGGGGAGTAAATAGCTCTACAAGGACTTCACCAATAGCAAGCCCATATGTTTTAATGGATTCGGAGGGATAATGGCTCTATCATAATGGATCGAGAAAACAGAAGCGGTTTTCGAGATCTGCGCATGTCTGGAAGGGAGCAAGGTAAAGTTTGTTGCTTGTATCTTCTCCGAGAGAGCTCTAACGTGGTGGAATGGCCATGTCAAGTCACTAACTCTGGTAGTCGCAAGTTCTATGGGTTGGGTGAATCCAAAGCAAATGTTAATGCAAGAGTACTATCCAAGGCGCAAAGTACAAAAGCTACAGCAGGAACTTTGGGGCCTTACTATGGTTGGCTCGGACATCACAACCTATACCAATAGGTTTAGTGATTTGGCAATCCTTTACCCAGGAATGGTTTCTCAAGAGAGCAAGAAGATCGAGAGGTACATCTGGGGACTGTCACCCTAGATTCGAGGAAGTGTACTAGCATCCAAACCAGTCACTTTCGATAGTGCCAAATAGTAGGCACAAGCTCTCGTTGACCATGGAGTCTGCCAAGGCTTCGCAACTGCTACCCCGAAGCAAACCCTAGGAAGCAACAACAACAACAACAGTACCAACAACAACAGCAAG